CCATCTTTGTCCCTTCTAGGATTCTTGGACGCGACCAGACAAATATGAGGTACGGCTACTAGCTACCGTAGCCTGACTCTAGTTATAGCACAAGTAGACCACCTTTGTTTTTTTGTTTTTTTTTGACTGCAGAGCAGAAGTGTTGTCATTCCGCCCACATCTAACGTGCACCGCATTTACATGCGCGCTAAACCTGTCCCCCATTAGACGCGTAGTACAGTACATTAAATCCGTTTAGTTCCAGCACACATTTAAGCTTATGCCCTATTTACTTGTCCCTGTTTCCTGACACGCAGAGACAGTATCTCACAGAAGATCTCAGGCCTTGTAACGTGCTGTTATTTCCCGCAGCATGGTCTGGTTACTTCTCCGACTTTGCCTGATTTAGGGAAGAAGTAAATTCCTGCTGCGTTGGTTTGTGGGTAGATCAACGTCTCTACGAGTTCACACAGAAAACACTGTCTGCTCTGCTGTGGGCCAGCGATGCCTCTAACTCACCGAGCTCTACTAAATCTTAACAGAGTGGTTTTCAGTGGTGTCGCCTGATTCGGAGGCTGCATGTTTGTTCAACAGTCAAAAACTCCTGGAGCCTCATTTATAAACAGCTCTGTGGAATAAAGCCGAGCAGATTTATTCGTCCATTTTCTACCTCCAACACAGTTTAAGTAATTTAAAATCTTTTTTTTTTTCAATCTGATGTACAAGTTTCTCAGGAACAATGATTAGAAAAGTGTATTATAAATGTTAAAACTCTTTTATTCATGAGGTCTCTGCTCTGGTGTTTGACTGGAAGGAAACGTGCAAACTCTCTACCCGACACAAAATAAAACTCGCTGTCTGTGAACAGAACTGACAAGGAATATAACACTCTAACGTCACTTCACTTCACTTCACTCACTGTCTCACACGTGATAATGGAGGAATTACTTCTTCTAACTTGTGTTTCTCTAAAAATACCCAACTGTTTTAATCAGTGCAACAAACGATGAAGTGATGCGGTGATTGAATTACCACTTTTGTAGTGGATTTCAAAATTTGCATCCCAGCGTGTGACCAGTGTTACTTCACACATCTGGGTTTCAAGTGGGGCAATTTACTTCTGTGCAAAACGCAGCTGCAGAAAGTGTATTAATATGTGATGGTTGTGTTATTGGTGTTTTACAGCTACCAGTATATGTGCATTTCCATTTAGTCTCGATTTATCTTTATCATTATTTCACGGTGGTGTTTTCTTTTCTCTATTTGTAGACAACCAGCTATTAAAAGAAGTAGAGTGTAGCTCAATATTAAATTTAGTCAGTAGAGGAGTGTGTTTGTAGTTTATGCCCTTTAACAGTTTATAGTTCCTGTAAATTCCCCTTTTTCAGGTTTCCCACGTTGGTTCCTCTTTAATGAAATACTTGTTTCTGCAGGGTGAGAGAAACAGTGTGGGAGAAAAACCTGATACAGTCGCCTGCAGATAAAACTCTTGAAAACAGGGATATTCCAAAAAGCCTATTTTCTCATGATCTGTGACCGATCTTCATGTTTTCTGCATCTGACGATCAGTCAATAGTTCTGCAGCAGCACTATAAGAAATAAAAGCCACATTAGATATCGTGTTATTGATGCAGCCCATCATAGAAAATCAGCTGCTGGTGAAGTAACCTCTAAAAAGCACAGCATTGATCAGACTAATCTATAGTCACCAATAATTTCTGCCTGGATCTGATTTTAGCTGCCAACAAGGATGAGCTAATCGAGTCGTCATGGAAAATAAAGTCTGTGTTGTGCTGAAGATAAACTAAACCTTTATGATCCGTGTTTATTCCACTGAGAAGAACACTTTCAGAAAGCCCCCCCCCCCCCTCGGATCAGGGTCTGATTGTAATAACCTCAGCAGTGTTAGCGCTGCCGAGTGGTGCATTCAGGAAATACTCAAATCTCATGACCTTGCCGATACTTAAATGAGAACAAATGCTTCTATTCGGCAAAGTGTCAACACGGGGAAAATGGAAAAAACTTTGCCAGCAGCTTCTTTATCTGATAAGTGAAGACAAATAAATAAATGGTTCAATGGTATTTCTATTCAATTAATTAATTTAGTTACTGGAGCAAAACTGGAATATCACGAAGCCACTTTAAAACTTAGTAGACTTTGAGGATAAATGCTTGAAGGTGCAGTGTGTTTGAACATTTTCTGTCTTTCAGAGAGTTGACAGTACATAAACAACAGGAAAGAAGGAATTGCTTTGTATATTCATGGTTCTTTCATTAACCCTGTGGGCCTCCGAGGTTCCCTGAACATCAACACTATTCAAAGATCATTTAAATGCACTGATAACTTCGTCTGATTGTCTGATGCATACAAGAGACTCGTCCTGTTTGAGGATCCATCTTTCTAATTGGACAACTTGTTCATCACAAGCTCCATTCTACAAATAGTGGCCATTTTGAGTTATTGCTGGCTCAGCTCATTATCCTCAGCTCTGCCAGAGGACACACACAGTTATGCTTCAATTAATCTAATCATCATTTTTCCATGACAGGATAATAAAAAAAAATTAAAAAAAAGGAAAACTAAAATTATCACAGGAGATAATTTATTTTTGATCCCAGTTTAGGGATAAGTTCTTAAAGATGAAGCATCCGTTTGTTTTCCAACTGCTGTCAGTTCACAACAGAAACAATTGAACAGCTTTTTGGGGAATTTGATGTCTACATTCATGTTCCTGACTTTAATGTTCTGGTTTATGACAAAATACCGTCATATATCAGTATTTTAACATTTCAGTGTTAGCATGGTGATAAGAGCGCCACAAAGACAAAGGGCAATATCACAAAGCTGCAAGTGTGGCTGTCGACGTTTTGTTAATAACCTGTTTCGAGTAATAAGTAAATGTTGATGTCAGAACAACCTTCATGATTCGTGTCACCAAGGTGGAGCCACACACGTCTTGCACATCCTGTGTGCGATTCATTTTCCGAGATTCCTTTCTCGCCAATATATAAAAAAAAATCCAGTAAGACATTAGCGAGGCATTAGCTGTGGCTGGTGTGGGGGATAGAGATATGCTCCGAAAAAAAAAAAAACAGAATCCTCCCTAAAATATAAAAAAGCTATTTGCACCATCGTTGCTAAGAAAAGCTCCCCTTGTGTCAACTTTAATTAAAATGTATTGAAGCAGCGCACATGAGAGTGAACTGTTTTTTTCTTCCCCGACAGACGCAGCCTGCACAGAGGCTGGCAGTCTCTGCTATGTAAATGTTGTAGAACAAAATATGAGACAACATGACGCATGTATTGACAGATTATATAACCCAGTCAGTTCTGCCCGACAAAGCAAAGCAGCTGCGACAAACAAAAAAATCATGTCCATGCTTTCCATTACTCAGAAATCACAACTGGATGATTAATAACAGATTTCGGAATCAATCGATAAATCAATCACCTTCACTTCCTCCTCTGCTGTATGTTTTTAACATTTTTCTCTATTTACCTGTGTCCTGTTTACATTCGGACATGTTGCCCACAGTGCGGCTCCTTCCTGCGTCACCGCAGCGAGACAAGATTAATGTCGCCCTTTCTAAATGTTCCCGGACACTCCCTGAGAAGTTCTGTAAACAGCAGAAATATTTCTGCCACATCTGCAGCGTCCTGCTCTGGAAAGGAGAACACACTTCACACCATAATGCTAATACAACAAATATTCAATTATTTATAAAACATAAATGCTGAAGCACCTAGAATGCCTGAAATATTGATAGAAATTTGTGGCAGCTCAGCGGAAGATATATGTCCCCTGTTGGTTTGAACCGCCGCTTGTCCAGAGGAAAGAAAAGCTGTTGCTGTATTTTTAACAGCGACAGAGTTTTTTTTTTTTTGACTCTCCTCGGTGTTGATGTCTCTGCAGCATAGTTTCAGGACACCACTGCAAATAATACAAAGTAGGCTGCGTGAAAAAAATGTCACCGATAACAAAGAGGAGAGCAGAAAACAAACCACTCTGTCCTTTGGCCTCCTCTTCCTCTGTACTTTGTTACGTGAGCATTAAAGATCGAGCTCCCGCGCACGATTAAACAGGTAAACAGTGAGGTCACGGGGTGAGGTCGGGCGTCTGCTGCCCACCTGTGCAGGGAGCAGGCGGATCGCGACCTCGGCGACCCTGCTCACCTGCAAAGCAGCAGGTTGGAGCAAGAAGGCAGAGCAATAAATGCGTCCTGCTGAGGCAAAATAACGTTTTAACAAGTCATTTGTCCCCAACTGCAATTACACAGTTGAAACTTCAATCAGAGTGTGTGTAAACCTGCAGCTACACGGCCTAATGGCTGTAATCTGCAAACTGTTCTGCAGTTTATGGGTCAGGGCTGAATTTCAGCTGATTTCCAGACTGATGCAGGGACACTGTCTCTGTTCTCGTAATGTCCATGATGCTTTTATACGTGTGAGAGACAGAAAACTTTTTTTTTTTATGGCGTAAAGGTTACCGTGTGTAACTTGGCCTGACTCTAAAGGAAAGGGCTGGTGTGTTTTTCTATTTTTCTTATCATCAAAAGATCGAACACAAATACCAAAACCCCCTGTCGGGGTTTTCCAGCTCCGTGTGTCCCACTTACTTCACAATAAGAGAAATGTGGAATAACACCAGTCCTATCTTTGACTATTTCTCACAACTAAATAAACATTTTTTGCCAATTTGTGCAACAATCTCACTTTTATATTCCGTTGCTGCAGTTTCATTGTGAGCTCGTTGAAAGTGAAACTTTATCACATCCACAAAAAGTGTCCATCACATTTTTATTTTACTAAAACATAATTTCAGCTTCTTTTCCATTATTTTTTTTTTTTTTACCAAACCAGAAACATGATCCCATCATTTCCCCTGCAGGAAACCAACAAATATAAAAACACTCAGCTGAGGGAAAGTAGCAAGACATTGCATTTATTTCTACCAGAATGTAACAGGTTTTTTGAGTGAGAATAATTTCCTTCTCTTCTTCTTTCTTCTTCTTCTCCTCAGAGCCTCGATAGAAACATTGTGGTTCGCAGCCACGCACGGATCTCGTCCCTCACCTTGAAAAATGTGCAGTTCACGTACGCCGGCCAGTATCTCTGCACCGCCAGCAACTCCATCGGTCAGGACGACCACCACATGCACCTGGAAGTTCGCTGTAAGTCGCCTGACTCCACACTTCTGCCAACTCAAAGAACTGTCTTCGAATCAAATGTCACCGAACTCTCAAGAGATGGTAAAATTAGAATCTTTGGAACGTAGTGTGTCATCATCTTGTGATGGTCGCTGCGTTCCGGGAGACTTTCCCTTAATGTACATCAGTTGTTATTTTCTTCTTGTTTCATTTGACATCACCCTGCAACACTTGGCTTTTCTTCAGCAGTTGAAATTACCTGTGGGAAAGTACAGAGAAATCAATAGAGGTGGTGGCACAGAGCTTAACCCTTGTGCCCTCTGTTTAAACCACAACCGTCCTGTCGCTGCATTGCATGATGGTATCTTTCTCCCAGCGTCCACGTATGTTTATTGTGTGTACATTAGTGTGTTGTGCAGAAGATGTCACTCTTTGAGTAAGATGGACAGACCACAAAAAACATTCCGTCTTCAGTTCTTGCAGCAGCTGAACAAAATTTAGATTGTTTAAATGTCCCGTTAAATCTGCTGCTTTGTGCATATGACCCATCATCCAGTAACATGACGCCCTGTGACTCCCACTGGAGACAGATCTTTTTTTCTTTTTCCGGATGTAAAGAGGATTTCAAGAGATATGAGAAAGAAGTGCATCTGAAATAATGTAACCGAGACGACTGGAATCAAACGTCATTGGAGAGGAAAGATTTGCCACAAGCGCATATTCTGATAAAAATGAAGAGAAAGACACGGCTACAACAGAAACGAATAGGCCAACAGGGTTATTTTATCATCGAGAGAACATTTCCCATCTCATGTGAAATGAAGCAGTGTCAAATAACTGTGCAGCACAGAGGCAGCCATGCATGTGCCCGTCATCGTAAATGTTAAGAGACGGCGTCTGTCACAGGAAACGTACTCCCGGTGTAAATATCAAACTATTTGTTCCTCTGGTTCTTAACCTTTTCGCTCGCTGTGCCACAATCGTAACCTTTAATAAGAAACAACTTTTATCTTGACTCTTTGTTGTAATGTACTCATGCGGTGCAATCTAATTTTATTAAGTTATAAAGGAGATAAACACATTTAACTACTGGCAGGGGCTCTGCCACAGCACAGGCAAAGCAAGCAATCGCCTCAGGAGACGAGAGGGGACCCCCGAGAACAGATGATTACAATTAGAAACCCCCTAAATGAGGCCCCGTGCCTCTGTGTTGCTGCCAAAGGTTCATAATTTAAGAGGTCTGGTTGAAGACTCGAACTTCTAAATGCAAGTTCACGATGTGTCCTTAAATATCAAAATATATCAAGGTCACATGAAAAGCTTGTGACATAAATAAAATACATTACATGAGCACAACAAACAAACAAGGCCGCATATACGAACACAAACAGCTCATCTCACTAAATCGTTCAAGTTCGTACAGAACAGAAACACAATAGTCGCTCTTTTAACAGAAACCGGGCAAAACACAATATTCTAGATGATTTATAATTCTTTTAAAAAGAGTGTTGTGATGATTGGGAACAGAAATATATATCTTACAATAAGTTCTATTGTTCCATCCTGCACAATTCGCACATTAAATTAAATTCCAAGGAAACAAGGTTATTATATTTCTTCTTTCACCGTACTACTGTATTATCTTTGCGCAGTTTCCACAAAGACACCAGTCAATTGCTGCTCCGCAGTTATTTAAGATGCTGTTGCAACACATTTGATTCGCTCCTGGACAATATGCATTGGCTGCGCTCACTCTTCCTTGCAGTTACCTCTGTTTCCCGGGATGAATAATTGGAGTTTGCTCGGTGCCACTGTGAGTTGTTTCCATGGGGACGAAAAATGTCAGTTCCAACATGGCTGTGACGTTTCAGGCATGACGTTAGAGAGAGAGAGGGAGAGAGAGAGCATGCATCAAACCCTGGCTGGATATCATCAGGAGGTATTTTGGTGATGTCTTAACAGGACCGGACCATTATGACTCCGGTAATGTTGTTTGAAGGTTGCAGGGCGGGACTGTAATAAAGGATAAATTATACTTTCCACATCTGCTTGACTGCAAGAGGCGGAGAGGGTAATTTTAGGGGCTGTGTTATTTTCCGCTTTGCTGCCAAGTAACAACCATCTACAGGTATCAGGAGGTTAATGTTTTTCTTTGTTTTGCCAAATTTCAAATGTAACCGTGATAGTGAGGTTAAATTGCTCAGTGGTGCTCAAATCCATCTTAGGTAAACAGTTTAGTGAATTTTTTTTATTTTTTATCCTCTACAGCTGAGCATCAAAAGAGGTTTATTTTCTCTATGGTTCATTTGTTGTGGACGAAAACAGCCTCAAATTGAGGTTGAATTCAGCCCTTCAACCTCGTACTTACTGCTTTATTTATTTAACTCAGATGTGCTGAGTACAGAGGCACGACTGCATATTTTAACATGAGCTATCCTCAAGCAATACTAACAAACTCTACCATCGAAATACGCCAAGTGCATGCGCTCTGTGCCATGTTCCTATCAGTACGTCACCTAATTCCACATGTATTTATGGAGTAGATAAAAATAGCTGAAGCCAAATTGCTCTTGATCTTATTCTGAAATCTATCGGATGTTAAATTGGTAAAAAATTAAAAATATAAATCCAACAACTGCTTAATTGGATTAATATGCTCTGCTCTCAATGTGCCAGCAATTTGCTCAGAGATATAATCACAATGCAGCATTGATAGAGTTGTTTGAGGGCTCGAGTAATCAGCAAATAATCAGGTAGCTGATTCACTGTTGCCAAGCAATTATCGATAAGAGAAGGTGCTTTGTCTTGAGCAGAGCTCCCGCTCTCTGTCCTCTATCGCCGCTCGCCCACTCTCAAAACGAAGACGTTATCTAAGGGTGGTACTTCCTATCTGCTGCACAGCGTGATCCTATTAGCCGGGCTGAGAGCGTCTAGGTTTGCTGCTGAAGGACCGATACGGGAGAGTGTTAACGTCTCCTCTGTTCCAGCTCCGTTTCCTCAGCTGTCGCCGGTTGTTGAGCGCGTCGCATGAAAACTATCAGCGAGGTGCAAACAGGTCACTTCATGGAGGCGCCTCAGTCCTGATGGCTTCACAGTCAGATCCTAACTTATGGTGCCTCACAGCAGTTGCTAATTATACTTTGCGTTTTATGTGGGTTTCTCTACATTGGCAGACGGTTTGGGTTTCAATGATTGTAACTGTACTTTAAGAGGGAAAGAACAGAAAATCATTGATTTTATAGGTTTTTTTGGAAATGTGACCATTTTTAACCCAAAGAAATTTCCCAAGAATTATTATTTTTTTCAGTGTTTTATCGCTTGAGACTAAACATGTACTGGAATGAATGTCTTGTTATTCCCATGAAGCTGTTTACATGAATGATATTCCACAAATATACAGATTTTCCCGACAGCCATACACACTCTGATGATTGGAAAACAGCCTCATGACAAACGCACTATGGTTACACCACTTTATTGCCTGATGGAGGAATCATATCTTGTGTTATATCCAATATAATCTATTATATCTTCAAAAATGTTTAAAAACATGGAGCCATTTAAAGCTTGTAGATTTCCCCTAAATTCCAATTGAGGTTATATTTGGAATATCCAAACACAATATGCAGTTTACATGATCCATAAAAAAAACAAATCGGAATATTTGTCAAATTCCAGAACTGAGTCATCTCAGTCCAGACGAGGAGCCTCCAGGTGTAAAACAGGCAGGTCACAGGGACTCAAGCAAGTCAATGAGGCCCCACAGCAACACTGATAACAGAGTGAGTGAGTGGCTTCAGGTGAAGGAGCCTCTTTGGACTCCTCCTCATCATCAATCCATAGCAACGGTGCACCGCAGAGCTTTCAAGGATCCAGGGTCACAGCTATAAAACCCCACCAGTATCCGAGGCCACAGCGTTTCCCAGCACTCAGGGAGAAAAGCATACTTCACTGCATCCGTGAGTAGTTGCTCCGCGTTGTGAGAAAGATACGATGAAAGAAAAACAACACGGGAAAACAATCATCCCTTGTTTTAGCCTCTTGTGCTTTACAATGACGATGCCGAACATGATGGCTCAGAGTAAAAAGGTTTCCACCGTATGGGTTCACTTCAACCCGGTGAGTATGTCGGAGATTCTCGCGTCAACTGCAGTGAGAGGAAACGTATTTTCATCAAACCCAAAATAATATTTTCAGTCAAGCTGCACCAAATTGCACACACTCATCAATATCAGTCAAATAAACATGCCTGAGTTTAAAGAAATATATTATTATTTTCTGGGAAATTGATGAAAACGTCAGGAAAAAAACCTGTTGATGTTAAAGAAAGTGGAAAATAAACACCTTGATCCGCCCTGTTTGTCCGGGTCCTCGCCAAAGACGTAATGGGATCTGTCTCGGCCCACGTCTCATCCGTCCACCAAGTTTTGTAGAAATCCATTTGGTATTTCTTTGCTGAATCCCGCTGACAAACAACTGGACAGAGAACAAATCACCCCCTTGGCAGAAGTGGTTGCATTTTCCATTGGAGCTGACAGTATACAGTGTGGTTATTTATGTTGCCTATAGAGATTGTGTGCCGATTAGACTGCGAGACACTGGAGTTTTTGTAATTGCTGCAGCGTCTCGCAGTAAAACGTTGCATTTACCTTTTGTCACGAGTAAAACAGGCAGAAAAAAAAAAATAGCAATTTAACGTCGCCATAAAAACCAGCACGAGTTCCCTTTAAAACTTAAATGGATATCATAAAAGACCTCACCCCCCAAAAAGAGTGTAAACGTGACATGAGTACAACCATTAGATTATAATATTCTGTCAGGCTGCAGATTCCTAAGGGAGGTTTCTCGCTGGAAGATCCTGGAGATGCTGAAAAGAGGAGGAAATAATTATATATTTCACGATTCCTTACTCCTGCACTAAAGGAATCAATGCGGCCCTGCTCAGTCGGATGAGTCCTATGCATCCTTTTCATGCAGAAATGATTTGATTCAGACAACAGTGTGTATTTTGTATGAAAAGGCTTCAGAATCCACAGAGCAGAGTTGGTATAGATTATAAAAAACAGCTTTGTGTTGGTGAATATTTTAATCCTTTGAGGAACATTATTCAAGCTCAAACTAGCAGACTGCCTTGATTTTGCATTGATATGCTTGTTCCGCAGTTTTTTTTTTGTGTGAGATCCGCAAACAAAAACCCTGAAGGTAGAACCGAGCTTGTGCTCGTGCCAGCCACAGCAGGATGTCGACTTCATGCACATCCAAGACGCATCTTGACGTCTCCATTCAAAGGCAGTTTGCAAAGATGACGGCTTTCATTGAAGCAGAATCCAGGATGTTCTGTAGTTTATGCACCACAACGTCAGCACGATGACAGTGTGGGAAAAAACGACTTTCTTATAGTTCAGTGACGGAGGAAGTACTCAAACATTTTACTGAAGTACAAGTACAAATAAATAGACAAAGACGCACCCAAGTGCAGGTAGAAGTACTCGCCACGTGTAGCCTATCAGCTAATGGAACAGTCGACTGCACCTGTGTTTTAAACTTTTGTTTCTTGGAGACACAACCATGAGATTGAGACCCACTATCTCCACATAGAGGTGGATGCTACAAACACAGCGATCTTCATTCTGCTGCACTAAAGTATCATCGATACAACTCCTCCTGCTTCACTGTTCCAAAACCAACTTCACTATCTTATCTAACCTTATCTTAGNACTTTGTTATATCTCACTTCTTAGCGGGAACCCCCTGAAAAAAACCCTTAAAATAACTATAATCTTTATTTCTGCTGCTGCAGATGCTCCAAAGATCCTGGGTGTGGTGATGACGTACACGTGGGAGGGAAACGCAGCCAACATCAGCTGCGATGTGGAGGCTCACCCAAAGGCGTCCATCGTTTGGTTCAGAGAAGACCTGTTGCTGCCCAGCGCCAACGCCACCAACATGAAGATCTACAACACGCCAACCGGCAGCAACCTGGAGGTGTGCAGCTCCTCCCTGTTTTCACAAGAAATGCAATCTCAGGGCTTTTGTTTCAGAGCATGTCAGCATTTAGATAATATCACAGCTCTAGTCTGTAGTTACAGCTCTTTACTGATAAAATCTACCATTAGAGGCGTTTATGCTTTTGTTGAGTGTTTTTTGACCTTTGAGTATTTGTCAGTTTAAAAGGAATTTATATTTACTACTCATGAATGAAACAGATAAACTCACCTCGACGGAGAATTAAGTGAGTTTCACTCTTTTCCTGGTTCTATCCTTTTCTTGTTCACTTGCAGCTCATCACCACATCACGTCACCTGATGTCTTAACTTTTTGACATTTTATTTCTGCCCCTCAGATTACCCCCGACTCTGGTGACTTTGGGAGCTACAACTGCACGGCAAGAAATGCAATGGGCACCGAGCACAAGGAGTTCATCCTCATCCAAGCGGGTTTGTTTACTGATAAGTTAAAAAGAATATTCTCATTCGCCCGGTGTCTTCCGCTCACCCGTCCTAGGGTTGTTGGGTTAGCCGACACTCTCCAGCTTCTCTTGGGGGATCCCAATGCGTTACCGGGCCTGTTGGGATATGTAGCTCCTCCAGGGAGTTCTACGTCTACCCCCTCCACTGTCCGCTAGTTATTGCCGCTTGCATTCGCAATCTCATTCTTTTGTTTCAAGACGTCAGAGCTTGTGATCACGGATAAGGGTAAGTTTGATGAGAGCGGTCCGGTACAACGCCTGCATGGCTGCTGATGCCACACCAACCCGTCTGTGCATCTCGCGCTCCCCCTCCCCCTGAGACTCCTTTGCTTGGGGCAACAACTTACTCTGGAAGTCTTCTTCTCAAATTTAAACCTGCAGCCCCTGAATAACTGTGATCAGTCACATTATCAGTATATGATGAATGAATAACATCCACCGGCACATTTCAAGTCGTACGTCCTGATTCAACCACCCTCAACTAAATGATTGTTCCAAGGTCAAGTTTAATTCCCAGGCCTTTTAGAGCTCGGCAGTAAAACCAGGAGCAAGGCCCATTACATGTTATGGATACAATTTTAAAGTCAATTCTTCAGGCAGTCAAATGGGACAATGTGTGAAATATATATTTATATATATGTGGTGGTTATAGACACTGACCCTGCTGCTCAGCATGAGGCGCTCCCAGCACACAGCAGGCAGGTAGTGTAGGTAAATGTCCAAATTGCTCTGGAACTGTCCTTTAAGCCATACAGATTGGTTTTTGTCAGCTTCATTTGGTATGCTAATTGTTTTGGATCCATTAGAGGAGGTAAGTCTCTCAGGATCCTGACTAAATACAGTGTGTTTAAATTAATTGGACTGACAACCTCTGCTGCCACTCAGTAATGTATTGTCGGCCCTTTGAGATGTTTTCTTTTTGGCTTTCTCATTTGCTGCATAACTTGTCAGTATGCCTGAAGCGTCTCCTTCACAACAGAGCCGGAAAAAATAAACCCTTTAAATACAGTGGGGTCTCCTTTATAGGTTTATTTTGCAAGTTTATCCATCAATGTCTATCCTGAGAAAAAGAACTCCACTAAAAAGGTCTTTGTGTTGCATGATAATCGTACACAAGCCAGAAATGACTGTGTGGGTGTATCATCACTGAAGGATCATTATCCGTTGTGTTTTTTGTTTGTGGCTCCAGGAAGTTTGCAGACGTAGATGAATTGATTGGTGGTTAGTTTATTAATTTGCCATTTAGCGTAGAGAGAAACATCAAGTGTTGCTTTGTAATGAACCAGCGTTGAGGTTCCAGTGTTCAAACCCCAGAGGCTGCAGTGTTCATTAACAACCTAACAGCCCCATCGTGATCAATGGAATAGACAACGCACGAACGCTGTGCTTCGAAGGAGGTCAGTGCAATCAAAGTGGTTCATCCCTTGGAGAGCATGAGCGTGATCACTACATTTAAAAAAAAAAAAAAAGAATCTCTGCAGCTGATTGATTTCCTCATAGATTTTCCATTAACTCATTAAGAATCATCCCGGGGACAAATTTGGTTCATCAGATTTTGTGCAAATTGGAAACGGAAGCAGTGAACAGACACCTGACACATTGATTATCATGGTCAGGTCAGGACAGGTCCCCCTGTAGCGTGAATGAAGTACTACAGTGTCGTCAGTCGACGGCTAAACTCTGCAGGCTGTGACCCTCAGTCTTATCATCAAAGTGCACAGCAGAGAAAGCTGTTGCTGCAAACTCTGGGCTTCAGGGCAGAATAGAGGAGCGCGGTGCAGCTGCATTGTGAAAGCTGCTGATTTGGAGCAGTAGGTGTTGCATTGACTGGCTCCTGATGCTTTTAAACACAGGAGCAACACTGACAGCTACGTTGTTATTTTAATGGATTAAAGCTTCATTTCAAAGGTTCAAGCACAATAAATCATCACATTTTAACACTGTGATGATACAATATGTGTCTGAGGAGTCACATTGTGTTTTATAGATAGAACATGGAAAGAAAAAAAAGGGGATTTTGAGTAAAGTTGTATTTATTCAGAAAGTTTATTTATAAAAGAATTATCAAAACTCAGGAATAGGAATCGATAAAGCATGTTTAATGAATCAGCAGCTCGTGAACGAAAACACAGATATGCTGATGGATTCAAGATGTCGGTGATGATAATCTACTTTTCTATTCAGCTGGGCTGAGTGAGACATGTTGGACTTTTTCAATGGTGTCAAGAGAGAGAGGATACACAGAGATAGAGGCCAGGAGCAACAGAGATGTTGTTACAGGGAAAAGTTGCTGCTTCTAAGTTAAACAGTAGGTTGTTTAAATTCTCGTAAGAGTGTATGAGCCCTTTGTGAAACTAAGATATCTGTCCTGCATTTATTAAATATAATACTGGAGATTGCATTTTTCGTGCCAAGTTGCATTATGTCATATTTCGAGTCTGTTATTGAATGTTATGTTTTTCTTTCCTCTGCTGCAGAGGTGCCATCATCGCCAGAAATTCAATATGTGGAACCTTTCTCGAGCACAGCGGTGGTCGTGTTTGAGGAGCCCGACTCCACTGGAGGAGTGCCCATCATCAAGTACAGGGTGGAATGGCGTTTGCCCGGCCAGGATTGGACTGGCAGGGAGTATGAAGCCGACGACGGTGAGTCATATTCTCTCCTCGGCTGACGTTCATGGGACGTTACAAGTGAAGAAATCTGAGCTCGATTGTAGATTTACAATCATAACTGGAAAAGAAACACACAGACAAAGGAAAGACAGTGTCTCCGCACTGATTGGATTGGACGGACACTGACATTCCTAAAGGTGGGACACAAAGTAAAAGAAAATTAAAAACTAAAACTCTGGACCAATTGTTGAAAATGTCTCTAATGAGTCCACTTGACGAGCAGATCATAACAAAATGTCCTAATGAGCTCTATTTAGTATCGGAACAGAACAGAAGCACCTACTGTGATGAGTGATGATTCAGTGTTGAATTCATCCGTGAGTCACCACCACTCACCTTGATTTCCACAGAAAAGACACAAATTGTTCTTTTAATCAAGTGAAGTGGAATCGAGGGACGTTATTAGAGTCTCTGTTAAGGGTCAGTGATTTCTGTGGTGTCTTCAGACGCATCACAACCATCAGCTCCCCCTCCATTTTTTTTTTTGACTCCAGCTCCCACACAAAGAAAATATGAGCCAGAGCTGAGTCGTGCTAGCAACAAGAGTTAATCCAAACATGACAGTAGCTGGTGTCAGGAGGGGGAGGTGGAACACAGTGCAGCCTAAATGACAGTCTGCTCAGACACTGACAGGCCCCAGATAATATCCAGCGTCCCACCGAGGGTCCGCGGCTCTCACAAATCTGGATGGTTCTTGTCCTGCCACATGGGACGTATCCGTCAGCGGGTGACAGGCTGCACTGTCAGCACCGAGGCCCAAGAGCCGCCTGTCACAGAAAACACAAAACAAAACACACATGCACCCACACAGTAAATGTTCCCACAAACACAGATCACGTCACCTAATCCACATCTCAACATTAACTAAAGCCTTTTCCAAAAAAAAGTGCAAACATGTCTTCTAGTTTATTTATTATAAGAATTTTGATTTGGAAAATCTGGATTATAGAGGATTATTTAAGATGCAGATCCAGTAAGGAAAAGGAAATGTGTAAAAGCAGCAAAATGACTGAAATGTTATAACAACAAGTGTTTATTTCAGTATTTTTCCAAAAATTGTTAAGCAAATAGACAAATATATTGTTACTTGTCATTTTATGACGACAGCAGAAGAGTTTAGTAATTTGTAAAACATGAAATAAATGACGTCAGCTAATTCCACGACCAGATAAAAACTAACAAGGCTTGTTCACAACATATTATTTTCAGTCTAGTCCTTTAATTGTTGTCGAAATCCACACAAGTACTCACTCCAGGTTGCAGTAGTAGTACTGCAGTGATACCATGACTAACTCGTACTAAAATCAGGATTTAGTCAGTCCAGTGCCGATAACCTTTGAGTGAAGCTGAGGGAACCAGGCTGTGTTAATCACTGGTGAATCACTCCGGGCTGCAAATCTCATCTGAACATGACTGGTTTCCGCCAGTTGTGAACACATCTGCACGGTTTCCCCCCGAGCGGTCGCTTACTGCGTGTTTCATTCCAAAACGTCCTTCTCATTGAGACACTAACCTAAAACGCATCCAGAATTATTTCCGTGTCACAATAATCAGGAAAATGTTTTTTCAGCTCTTTGGGGTCTGAATTTGTTTTCATCCGTGAAATTACCATTCTGTGTTTCACACGGTGAGACATCAGCTGAGTGGCTCCCCCCCCCCCCACAAAAGTCAGGGAGCACACTTATGTATAATATGTGTGTTTGTATCCTGATTGAAATATCAGTGGTTTCTACTCATATGCAAATCACCCTCTCTGTCTAATGAAATGTAACCGAGTACATTTTAATCAGGAGAACTAAGTCTTTTTCCTCCTAAATTCACACTTTATGGAATTATTTAGATTATACGTATTATATTTGAAATGATCAGAATGTGAAAATTTATTCAACCCTTAAAGAGCAGCTTTTTTTCTAATAAACCAAACACCCTTTGTGTTATAATTGATCTTTAATGTTATTGTCCCACATATAATTAGACTTTTCCTGTTTTTATTGGCGTGTGATTTTCATGAAGTTGCTCTGCTTTGCCTCTGGACTCGCTGGCTGATGTTGTACCTCTCCATTCGTACTATTCTGGGCTGTTTATATGCAGCTTTGCTCCCATTTCAGTCTCCAGGAATAATCCCATCAGGATAATATTGCAGTGTACCTGTGGTGACCCGCCGACTGCTGCATGTACAGGACAAATAAAAAAGTGTCAGCCAGATGTTTCTGTCAGCGCTGGAAGTTTAGGAGATGAGTGACACTGAATAATCCATGACATTAACCAAAAGAATACCTAGATGTAAGCACGTGTATTTGTTTGCAGTGTACATTTTCATCTAAACTCTATTCCAGCGACCTGCCGTCATCTTTTCATCAATGCTGAACGAGCACAGTGAATTCAGTGTTTGCTTCGTTATCCTGTTTTCAGCTTCCTGGATTAAACATAATGTAATTATAAAAATAAACATGTTGTATCACACAGAATCAAGAAGATGCAAAACAAACCAAGGTCTTTTCTGGTGGAACTGGTTCTTATTCTTAATCTATATTTCGGTTTTTTGTGGTTAAAGAAGTTTAGCGTGTATGTGGTGACACGTGGGGGCATGAATAACACCATCGTCTCTCCCAACAGACACGAGCAAGATCACCATCGTTGGCCTGAAACCAGAGACCACCTATGAGCTCAAGATGTCCGCCATCAACGGCAAGGGCGAAGGCGAGAGCAGCGAGGCCAATACTTTCAAGACGGAGCCAATCCGTAAGTACCGCCCCTCGCTACCCGTGTCCCTGTTCTGAAGTCAGCGCTCCTCTGACCCCGCCCAACACTTTGAAGCTAATTCTCACTTCCACCGCCTGCTCATGTCTAGCTGAGCCCAGATGCTTTCACCCCCTTTGCTCCTCTTTTCTCACGCCAAGCCCCAGCGCAGAAGGAACAGTAATTCATGAAGCCAGCGCCACCGCTAATCATCTTCGGTAATGGTGTTAACTTTGCAACGTGTGACCCTTGCATTCATCCTCCAGCCGATCTCTTGCAATTTGTGAGTGAATCCTCGCCTCCCTCCGTTTTTTGCAGAGCTTTGCTTCCCAGACACCGAGTCACGTGATGTTGAGAAAGCCTTGTGCCTTTCTGGAGGCTGATTTATACTTCAGTGTGAAGTGGCGGTTCTGTATTTATAGTTCAGGGACAGTGATAACATGTCAGTGATGAAATGTTGGATATTTCAATCGTGTTTGAAGGAAAAACCTTAACCGAACAAGAGAGCTACAAGGAGAACACCTGCTTCTCAGGTATATCAGGGGAGGTTTTGACCATGTTGCACCTGCACCAGATTACTGGATTTTCTTCTCATCTTCTGCATTTTCACAATTTCTGTTCTTCTTGAAAATCCCAGCTGTGTTAGTCATACTGCAGCATCTGTAACCTGACAGCAAAGAGCAGGTGTACGAGCCAACAAGAATTTGGCAGCTCAACACAACATGCGTTCATTTTGTGTTTATTTATGTGCAACCGTGCATGACGCAAAACTACTTACTGTAGAATAAAATAAGGTCCTATAGAAACTGAGTGCAGCTCCACAATGTACAACAAAGATCTCTTGGATCTAGTTCACGCTCGTCTAGTATGTGTTTAATTTTAATGGCTAATAATTATAAAGACGTTTCACCTTTTATCCTGTGCCCTTGAGCATCTCATGTTAAAATACAGGATGGTTTTGCAGCTGTGTGTCCGTGCACAATGTTTCATGGAAGGGTTTGGGGTTGGTATAACGTAGAACGGTATATATGGAGACTGGAAGTCATTGGGGAGGAGGAGGGTCGCAGCTCGTCACTGAAATGACAGCTGACAGCGAGATAGGAGAGCAGATTTAAAGTGGCAGCGGCATGATTGGCTAATTGAGATAACGGCTGAGTCTGATTGGATTACTGTAAACACCCAACTGTCAGCCGATTACAAGAGGCAGGGAGAGAGCTGTGAATAAATGGAACGCAGAGAAAGTCCTCCTCGTTGAACTTTCACTCGTCTTCATGAGGACGGTATAATCTTTAAACGGTGAGATTTGAAAAAGTCAGCACAGTGTGGAACTGTGCTCGTTTTAATATTGATGTGAAACTGGGTTAAAGGATAATTCTGCTTCTTACTTTTAGAGTCGTGCTGTAATTGTTTCAAAGCTAATTTCTAATTTCTCATAGGAGGCCCGATTATAAAACCGGTTATAGCGGAGCTATTAGTTTAGGTGGATTATCTAAACCTCTTTATTTGTGGGTCAAACCAACGTGAGCGCGGCTGATGCAATGTTTGTCATTTATACAGATGTTTACAGCTCTGCTTATTCTTCTGTTTTACTTTGGTTTCTGATTCTCTTCAACCCACATGAACTTGATGAATTCCATGTTCTAATTACTGATGTGAAAAAATGTCCAGACAAAGAGAATGTGACTCTTTAACCATCCTTCTTTTCACTGCAGTGCTAGTAAACCCAGACAACAGACCTATTTTCATTCAGCATCATCAGTAAATCTTTGTTTTATTTTGTAGTCGCCTCCGTCTCGTGCTTCTGTCTGTGCTTCATCACCCCACCGCTTCTGTAAAAACCGCTCCTCTCAGCATCCTGCTCAGTTTGTCTGAATCCCTGAAGCTGCACGTAGAGCAGAGTCACTCTCCTACTTCAAGAGACTTCACAGAAAAGAGAGTTTTCACTTAGGAGTAGTTTAACTTGTGCGAGGTTAAGCTCAAACTTTACTGAGAGTATCATTTACAGAAATGAAATGAAAATGGATGTGGAGGAATGAAGCTTAGATTATCATTTAATGTGCTGTATTACATTAGGAGTAGCACAGGGGAAGATTGGCAGCCGGAAACCCAGCGTCCTTTAAAGAAAACACTGAATCCACCGTGAACGACGTCTTATCCGAGTGTGGAGCCATTTAAAAGAGAAGTTTCTTATTTGAATAGTTATAAATGTTGGAGGATTATCAAAGTCAGAGTTATCTGCGGAGCGAAGAGAAGCGAGGCAGATAAAGAAGTCAAATAAGACACAATAGCAGTGTGTAAATGATGTGGCAGGACAGAGCTGCCCTCTTTCATTATTCACATTTCTCATTTCACTGTTTTTTTTTCTCTCTTTCTGTGTTTCACTGTTTTGTCATCATGGTTTTCCATCTGTTCTCTATTCCATCGGACCTCTCAGGGTATTCTTTCACAAGTAAGTTTCTTTTCCCTGTCTTTTGTTTTTGTTTTATTTCCCTCACTTCCATCTCCATGAAATGAATCTGCTTTTATTTTTTACCATTCCCTTCTCCATTAAAACTTCTTTAAAACGACTGAATAATAATGTAAATCTACTTAAAAAGAAACTGACTTCATCACGTCTTCCACGGAAAGTTCCACAGGAATCCTCACCCATCGCCCCAGAGATATGATTTTTCCTCCCTCTTGCATAAATACCAGTTCTCATTCATGACCTGCTGTACTAATTTTCCAGATGGCAGTGCATTCCTCTGCTTTAATGTGCTTTCAGGTTTGTTTAGAACTGTGATAGATTGATGTGACATACAGCCTCTAGCATGTGAGTTATTTTGTGCCGTCGTCCTCGGTGCTACTCTCGCCGGTAACATTTTTATTTTGGTGTCTCTCTTATAAAATATATTGGACTTCCGGCAGCTGCTCAGCTAGAGTGTTATACAATAGTCTTCAAAGAAGGGACTGTATTAAAAGATAACCAAGAAGAATACAGTCATATTAACAAACCAATTCACGGGAATTAAGAATACTTTCATGCAGTACCGTTAAAAGCATTGGATATAAATGAGTATGAAAGCTGGAGGTTTAAATATTCAGGCTTTCTATTGCTACGATATTCGCTCCTGGACTGCTTTTATTTTTAGATTAGACTTAATTAGACCTGACGACGGTAGTGTCTGAGAGGTCACGAGGGAGAACTGATACCTTCCTAGTCTCTGTCGCAGGTGGAGAGAAACTGCAGCTCAAGAAGAGTTTGTATTCTGCATGTTGCTCTTAAACCCCCAGGACTGATTCTTGTTTATTTTAGGCATCAAACACATGGACAGAGTACAGCGGGTCACATAGCTCAGATTCCGATTTTCAGCGCAAAGTTGTGTCCCAATTTAGGGAACCGCATCCATCACACTTGTTTACGAAGGCCAGGCCTTCATCTAAGCCTCCATAGACTGAATGAGGTGGTTTTACTTGTCAGCTTCGTCAATGGCCCAAAATGAATCCGCAAATAGTTTGGGCCAAGACGGCTCGACCGATGGGAGCCTTTGTTGCTCCGGAATAATTGTGCGTATATTTGTTGGCCACGTTTGAAGGAGCCTTCAGAGTCACACTTTTGTGACGTCATAAGTCTACCCATGAAGCCTCAAAAGAACGCAGCCCTTAAATTAGTAAAAAAGTATAAGTAAGTAAGGATAAAAAAATCTATTGCGTCTCAATTCGTCACACATGCATTCATTGCATTCATGCTGACAAGTATGGCAAGGTGCAGTGCTCCGTACGCAGCCACATGGTGCACTCCATTAAGCGTGAAGTCACAGTGCGACTTCCAGGGAGCGACTCCAGATCAGAGGCCAGGGCCTTGGTCGAGGGCAGATGCAATATAGTTCTCAACATCTATCTTTTTTTTTTACTGTGGGATGAAAGTAGATGAACAGAGAAAAGATTCTCAAAGACAAGAAGAACAGAAAACAACAACTGGAGATAAACAGGTTTAATATTGGGGATATATTGGGTTTTAATATTTGTCTCTAATCCTTAATAAGTTTTAAAATGTGCCATTTTTGATGCAGGCAATCGTTTCCTTATGTCTAATGTGTAATTTCTGCAACAAACAGTAACCAGTGTGTTTTATTAGGACTTCATGCTCTGACATTTCTCAACATTTGATCATCTGTGGACATCTCTGGTCTCTGAATTCTCCGTATAGCTCATAAGAAACATATCATTTTAAAGAAACTAAGCATACTGCATGCTCCTGTTCCCGCAAGTTTGAATTCCCGAATACAAAACTTGTGTGTAGTCTGTACTGAGACAAACCCTATGTCACATTATTAGTTATTTTCCCACAGGAGAAATTCACCAAGACAGAATTAAAAAAAACAGAAAGTAAACAGAAGTGACCGAGCACCGAGTCGCTCGTGTTGAGGAGAACTCCAGCTCCTCTCACCATGTTTTCATCTTTCAGTTTCGTCAGCGATTCCACCCACTACCGCTGCCACCAGTCTGGCCAGTAGTGAGTATTTGCCAGTCCAGCAGTGTGCAGTGTGTCTCTCCTCACCTCTACCTCTCTTACCTGCTTGGCCTCACATGTAGATGTTCACTTATTACTGATGCGGCTCATGGGAGGAATCAAACCTCCTCTGTAGAGCTGAATCAGTTGGCAGCTTATTAGATTTGCTAACACCGATAGATTTTGATTTTTACTAACATTCGCCGAGGACATGACGTTTTTTTCCTAACAGTCTGATTATAGTTCTAATTGTGTGGGTGAGATATGATTAACCCAACGTGCCTGTTCATGAAAATCAAAATCACAGTAGAGACTCTTCTGATTGTGGCGTAATTAATTTGGATGCACACTATATAACATATAGAATAGACTGTGTTCAGTTTGCTGCGGCCTGTTAATTTGTGTCCGAGTTCAAGTCCGGGTTTATCAGTGGCTGCAAAACAGACGATGTACGACAACATCAATATGTCAAAAAATCACTAGACCCATGTTTTTTTTCCAAAAACACAAA